ATAATTAAGATAATATTTTTTTTCAATATTTATTGATTCGCAAGAATTCCGTGATTATCATCGTTCTATCGTTGTTGCCATCTTTAGTCACACAATTATATGAAAACTCAAGATTTGGCCATGATTGCAAAAAATAGAGATGTTGCAATGGCTTAACAAAGAGTGAGATGTGGAAGTATCTTATTTAAGACTTTGGTTTATTTAAATTCAATTATTTTAGTAGATCGATTAGTTGTTTCTATTATCTATATGTTAGTTATTTGCTAATTTTATGCAGGGTTTTTTAATTTTGTTATAATGTACTTGTAGATAAATGATAGTTAAAGTGCGTAAGTGAAATAAATGTTCAAAGTTTACATTCCTTACACAATAACTTAAAGTACCAATTAGTATTACGGGATTCACTATTTTGAAAAAAAAACAAATAAATAAGGAAATGAACGAAAAATAAAGAAAACTAGCATTCTACTCGCAACCCTCTTGCGAATCAGATTCTGGATCCTGATCATTTTGATCTAAAATTGTTAAATAAGGAATGAGCTACACTAACCTAATAAGAATATCACACTATATCACCGATAAAGAAATGAAGATTGGTAGAAAATCAAAATAACTAATGGAGCACTTAATTTAAATCAATACATTTATTAAAAATAAAACTATTTACCATCCATTTACCGCAATGAGATTTATAAAAGCAATCTATAGATACAATAATATAGCACTTATCATGATTGAATATGCAATTGGTAACAAGCATACATTATAAATTCATACTCAATAAATCAAACAACAACCTTTCCTTTTATCAGCCTACTGGTATCTACGAGGGTTCATAGGGATGTCCCTGCTACGCGTGAACATTTTCCTTCAACATTTTCAAATTAAGGGTCTTCCCCATATCCCGTCCGGTATGAGTGTCAAATCATTAAAACTTAATACCCCGTCCGGTATGAGGGTGAAACGGGCCGTCCTCATATCTCGTTTGGTATGAGCGCCAAATTATCAAGTCTCGATACCCTGTCCGGTATGAGACAATGTTCACGGTAGGGTTCCCTATTGTAACTGGTCCGTCCACCATCTCTCAGGATATACAGTAAGGCTGTCGTTTCATCCATTCACTTAATAACACAATTTTTTTATTTTCCTTTAGTATCCATTTTCCAAATCACTCGTAATCACATAAACAAACAAACATGCATCAGGGAATGCAATCATATATCAGTTTTCCAATTTAACAGTAGTCACGTAAGGCAGCAATACATGCATTCAAATCATAAAGTTGATAAATCAGATATTATTATGCATTCAAAGCTATAAAATCAATCAATAAGGCACTATCATGCATTTAAACTGTAAAAATAATCAACA